GATTCTGTCCTTCATTAATCTTGTATCCATATAAGCTATCCACCCAAGATTCAGTCATCCCATCCGTTTGTCATCTCAGCTTCTTACTATATGCATGGCTCAACAACAGACAAGTTAATTTCTGACTATTTGCTTGTATGTTTCACCACCGTGACCATCGTACCCTGTTCTAAGCTCGCTTTCAAATGTTTCCGCACCCGCAAGAGAAAAGAGTCTTCCCTGCAATTACTTAAAAATGAACTTTAAGACCCAAATTGTTTAACTTTTGGCCTTCCTCTTGTCATAATACTTATGTTGTGATAGATCTGCTTAACAATGATATCACTTTTACCTTAATTCCTTTGATCCCAAAACACCACTGTGATCTCATCGGAATTATAACTCCAGTGTAGCCCTTAGCTTCACTATTTGTTTTGCAAGAGTACTTGGCATTGCAAGTGCACTACTGAATTAGCTATCTATCACCAGAACTGGCTTGCTTGCATTAATCATTGCAGTCTCATGAATCAATCTTGAACTTATCTACTACTTCTTGAATCAAGCTGGAGAGCAAAGGTAAGTCTTGTATTTTTTATCCATGACCACCATCATAAATTGTTGTTGCCTTTTCAGTACCTCTCAGTCTCTCAAACTGCAACACTTCTTTGTCACTTAAAATTGAGAAGATCCCTTCATATCCCTTGCAGCTTTCCTCCCCTCTTCTTTTCCAGTTATCTACTGAGCTAAATTTTGCCTTACAATTAAACCATAAATCGTAGGAGAAGAAGTAGGCCATTGATCCCTGTTGAGTCTGTTCTGCCATTCAGTGAGATCGTGGTTGCTTTGATAATCCTCAATTCTACTTTCCGGTCTTTACCCCATTAACCTTGGATCGGTTTACAGATTAAAAATCTGTCTGTCTCAGCTTTGAATATAGTTAATGACCCAGCCTGAACCACCCTCTGTGGTAATGAATTCCACAGATTCACATTGCCTGAGAAAAGAAATTGCCTTTATCTCTGTCTTAAATATGTGACCTCTTAATCTGAGATTATACCCTCTGGCCCTAGACTCTC